TCCTGCTCCATTTCTCCCTCCCCCTTTCCCTGAAAGCTGACCTTGTTAGGGTCAGAAACCATGGTCAGTGAGTGGCTGGAGGAGTGGAAACGAAGTAGGGGGAAGGGAGGGTCCTGCTGCACTGCTTTCTCTACAGGGTCTTAGCCAGCAGCAGGCCTGGCTGGGGAAGGAAGAGAACAGTGAACCTGAAATCAAGTTCACAGTTGTAATAACAATTTAGAACTGACATTTTAAACTCGTGATTTGAGACTGCAATTGTGATTTAAAGTGATGCAATTTTATCCTTTAATAATAATGGAGCTGCCGACATTGGTGTCCAGGAGATCTGTACAGTGTAAGTGGGAGATACAAACAAAGCTGCCTCCCTTTGGTTACATCCCACGCGTCCTGCCCTAATTTAGATACCAACCACAACTAGAACAAGCCACTCTGAGGATGCCCCAATTCCAGGCTCCCCACAGCCTGACTCTGAGTATTTTTCCTATTTGTTCTAAACAGGTAATCGTAAAAATGGTTATTCACTCATTTGCCCGCGATTCAATCCACATTGTCAGGGGCACATGTGTGCACATGTGCACAGCTGCACCACACATGCATACAGGCCCTCCCAGTTCTTCAGAGGTTCCAACACTGTTATCACAGGTACCAGGCGACCTAACTTGCAATCCCAGTTTTCTCATCTGTGCAGTGATGTGCCTGGAAACTGAGAGCTGCCAGCCTTCCCTTTCCTTCCTGATGACTTTTCTGAGGCGTCAAATGCCGTAGAAACGACCTTTGCTTCACAATACACAATATGATCTCAAGAAGCCCGCCCTCTTGAGCCTACCGTGTGCCCCCGAGGCCCCAGCAGGCCACCATGCTCTAGCCCCTGCTGCTGCACCCCACGCTCTCCCCTGCTTTTCCAACTGCCAACCCTCCACGGGCCCAGACCAGGAGCACAGGGCACCTGGGACTCAGTATCAGGCATCTGTGTGACTGGAGCACCCAGGACAGTTCCTGATACCTTGAAGACACTCAGTAAATGTCTGCTACACAAATGCAGATGAATCAGAGGACCAAGGTGGTTAAGAAACAGCATCACTTCCATTTTACCCATGAGATCCCTAACAGCCCAGGATGGAGTGGGCACAGACCCCGGTGCCCTCCCCACAGGGATGACCAGGTGACCGCGGGTCTGCGGTGGGCAGGAACTTACCACAGGCAGAGCAGCTGTAAGGCCGCTCACCCGTGTGCCGAACTCTGTGCTTTACCAACTTCCTCTGCATGTTAAAAGACTTTCCACACTCATCACAGGTGAAGACTTTATCAGCCGTGTGTGTCTTTTTGTGCTCCTTCAAATTACTGAAGTTACTGAACCCTAGAGAGACCAAAACAGGGGTTAAATTGAAGGGCTGAGAACATTTTAATCAGAAATCTTCAAGGAAGAAAAGGGAAACCCTCAGCTATACCTCGACCACAGATGTCACACAAGTGTGGTTTTTCTCCTGAGTGAATAATGATGTGACGCTGGACATCACCAGAGGCTGCAAACCTGTAATGCAATTTGGAAATTCAATTAAGAGCCTTTCTACGTCACTGCAAATCTTTCTAATTGCAAGTCGCTGAGGGAGGAGATGAGCTGCTCCCTCTATTACTTCGGAACGTGTTGAGGAGTGGCCTGATTTCATTTCAGAGGTTTAAAAAAAAAAAGTTTACTTTTTTTCTCTTTTCAAAGGAAAGTAGAAAATGATCCAAGTGTTTTGTTTCTAAAACATTTTTTCTTACCTACTTTCACTAACCTTTCTTCTTCAGAGGTGATCACTAAGTTGGCTTGGGGAGTAATTCCAACCCAACCCCCAGTATGAGCTCTATGCTCTTTCCTTCCCACCACACTCGATAGCAGGATAAGAGGTTGCATTTGGGGGAAGGTGTTGCATAGAGACATGATTTTAAATGCATGGAGCTCAGAAGGCTCATATTTAAAACATCCTGCAAAACAGGGACCCCAAGCGAAGCAGCAGGGGGCTTATGCTAAGAGGCGCCTCAAACAGGCAGTACATGTGACCTGGGCACTAAACCTGGCCTTCAGTGTTCAGGTAGCTATGGCAGAAAGGGAGACATGTCACGCTAGGTAGCTTTCACTTCTTTGTTTTCTACCATCTGCAAAGATAACTGTCTTCCTGGAACCGAATCAAGAGTGCTGTCCCGGGCCTCCCTGGTGGCGCAGTGGTTGGGAGTCCGCCTGCCGATGCAGGGGATGCGGGTTCGTGCCCCGGTCCGGGAGGATCCCACGTGCCGCGGAGCGGCTGGGCCCGTGAGCCGTGGCCGCTGAGCTTGCGTGTCCGGCAGCGGGAAAGGCCACGACAGTGAGAGGCCCACATATCGCACAAAAAAAAAAAAAAAAAAAAAAAAAAGAGTGCTGTCCCATCCTAGCAGAGGACTGTGACTATAGCTGTCCTATGCCCATCCCACCCCGCCCCCAACTCCTGAGTACGAACTTATCAGGGGCTGAGAATCCGTATGTTCCCAACACAGCATTTAGCACACAGTAGGTGACTAATAAATGCCGAATGAATGACTGGCTAAACAAATGAAGAAAACACTGTGTGACTGGTATAGTCCTGGTTGTTGCCTGCTGTCCTAGAATGACCAACCAATAGATCACAGAGTATGTGGACTCCCGACAAACACCCCCAGTGAGGGGCGGGGAGTCCACGCTGCAGGCCGGTGCGCTCAGAGGAGGGACCATCTCCTCATACTGCTCTCCACCTCCAGAGGGAGACTGTCACCAGTCTGTCACCTCACTTTCCAAGTCCAAGGCCTCCCCAGCCCTCAGCCTTGCCAGGCCTTCCTGTGGCTGAACTCTTGGCCCTTCACAGGTCTGGGTGCGCAGCTGGGGTGCCTCCTACCACCTCCTCTCCTGATTCCAGGCATTCAGGCTGCGAGTCTCATTACCCCTACCAGACAGTCACCTCCATGGGGGCCAATCGTCTATTTTAACAGACATTTTTGGAATGAATGGAAATTTTAGCATAAGATAATTTTGTTTTATGTAAAACCCCATTTCCTAAGACTTGTGTCCTAGATTCTCTTTCCTTTAATTAACATTTCCATTTCTTTTTGCTATTCTCATGTGTGTCACAAGAAAAGCCAGAGGGTTTGGCTTTACTGTGTTCCTGAGTGACAGTGAACCCCTACGTGGCTCAGAGATGCCGAGACTGCTCCTGACGTGTGAATGAACGAGCCTAGCACTGACCTCTTCCCGCAGATCTCGCAGATGTATGGTTTCTCCCCAGAATGCCGACGTAAGTGAGTCTGCAAATTACCAGCCTGTAAAAAAGGAAAAGAAAAAACGTGCCAATAGTGAAAAAAAAATTTTAAGAGCGCATAAATTCAAAAGGAAAACTGGCAGATTTAGCCAGGTTCCAGTCCAACTTCCAAATGAAGACTCTGGATGCATGACTCAGACGCAGCCACATGCAAGGAGATCAAGGCCCGGCCTGGTTCTGAGTCAGGAGCAGCCCCGCCCAGCAGTGAGCTGAACAGGGGAGCCTCTCATCTCTGCTCCACGCCAGCCCCTGGTCCATCCACCTCAGGTGTGCACGGTGTCGCACCCCTCTAAAATGGGCCCGACACACTGTGGAGGCTGCTTTAGGGGTCGTGAAGCTTGTGTTGTAAACAGCTCTTGATGTATTTTATTTCTTTTTTTTCTTTTAAACCTCGACCACCTATATGCAACATCATTTGAAAAAAAGGTAGCACTTGTACTTGGTTATTTCAGTATTCATTGTTTCTTCCTGAAAAACAGCTTTTGTTTATAAAGAAAGTAAGACACTTCCAAAAAGTATTTCTTCTTGGCAGTACAGTTGTTCTGCCTGACAGGTTGGTGGTCATTTTCACCTTCGTACAAAAAAGCAAATCAGGAGATTCACAGTAGTCCTTCAGCTGCAGGCCTTTTACGTTTCTAATCTCTGAAACTAGCAGGGCTTTACGAAGAATAACTGATTTAAATGGAGATCACAAAATAGATTTCCATGTGCTAATCAACAGGAAATCAATATTAAATTGCCTAAAGTACAGTGAAATTAAACCTGCAAATGCCTCAGATATTACAAAAGCTACTGGCAAATGTTTCAAATTAGGATTTGGAAACACAATCTTCCATTGTTGTAATTTAATACCCTCAATCTGTCATTTCCCAACTTAATTTTTTTATAGTGTTTTGTTACAAAAAAACACTGAATAGGATGACTATATCTAAGGGTAATAATGTTGCAGGCCTTATGCACAAAATTAGCCAAAAAAAGAGAATGAACAGTAATACCCAACTCACAAACTTGGCTATGTAAATTTACAAATTTGCTATGTATATTTTAAACAAAATGCAAAGATAGTTCATGGTTATAGGTTTGAAGGTGGTTCTGAACCCGTGGACAGGTATAAAGAATGTTGTCTGCAGATTTTATTATATAACACAGAAGATTCTTTAGGTCTATCAGACTCTGGGAAACACTAAGTTAGATACTACATTTCAGAATATGATAAATATAGCTTAGGAAAAAACTTATTTTAGATAACCAAAGAGAAAGAATCTGGCAAAACACTGGGAAATACCCAGCTTTTAACTGAGTGACTATTAATAACAGTAATAAAACAGCAGATGTCAACAGCAATAGATATTTGGTCTACTCAGGCCTTTACAAGTACAGTATAACTAAATTACTCTTAGAAATTGGTATTATTATTTCTATTTTCTAGGTGTAAAACTGAGATTCAGATAAATAAATTAGTTGCTCTAGTTACATGGTAGGCCAGAAATTAATATTAGTTTGTCTGAGTTTAAACTCTTGTCTTACATGAGGGTGTGCAAGTTTCTGTGAATAAACTAGCTTGTGCTGAATTCAGTATGACAAGCAGTCACTTTGCCATCCAGGAACCAGTTCACTGGAATTGAGATAATGCATCACTGATGGCTTTAAATCAGTCATTTCCAAATTTCAGAAAAGCTTATCATTTAAATAACAATTTGAATAGCACCATCTGCTCAACAGTTAAATTAGATCCCTCTTGTTTCAAGTTATTTTGTAAACTATGTACTATGATTGAAATGCATTCTGATTTGATTCTTAGCAATGCTGCATCTTTTTTTTAAATAAAGCATAACAATTACTTATTTTCAAAGTAAACAAGTAAACAATTACTTTGGTTTTCAAAGTAAACAATTACTTGTTTTCAAACTGAATGATCTTCCACTTAATATTATAGTACACAACAGTAAAACAAACTTTAAGATGTTTCCTTAGCTATTTAATACTGGACGTGTCTAACGAAAGTAATTATCATTCCCCCAAATAAAGGAGCACAAATTAGTCTGATAAATGGTATAAAAGTAGATTAAATAATGGAAAGATTCAGGCAAAAAAATCCAATAATGCATTCAGATAATTTATACCAAATTATATAGCACAGTGGGGCCCAGATTATTTGCCCTTTAGTCAAGAGTCTTTATTTTTGGTAAACTTTGCTATGCTTTATTACTAATTATACATCTTAGAAATCATCTATAGTTGGATCCATGAAAACTCCAGTAAGTGCTAATACTAGTAGCCCTCATTTATTAAGAGTTTACTATGAATGGAACACTTTGCTAAGCAGTTGCAAATAGTGTTTCAGTGAGTGGTCACAATGTCCTCATAAAGTATAATTCACACATTACAGGAAGTAAACAGAGGCTCTGGGAGGGAAGCAGCCACAGCCCCTATAGCTGGGATGGAATATTCTGATTCAGCTCTGTCTGTGGACTCATAAGCTTGTGCTGCCGTTGGGCTGAAAAATATTAGCACAAAAGGAAGTTCCACCCTTTCTAAGTGAATACCATTTTAAATTAGGATGGAGTTGTCAGAATTTTGAAGTGAAAAACTCTGTTGTAGAAAACAAGTTAACACCTGATTTGTTGAGCAGTTTAAAAAATAAACTCCTGGGCTTCCCTGGTGGCGCAGTGGTTGAGAGTCTGCCTGCCGATGCAGAGGACACGGGTTCGTGTCCCGTTCCGGGAAGATCCCACATGCCGCGGAGCGGCTGGGCCCGTGAGCCATGGCCGCTGAGCCTGCGCCTCTGGAGCCTGTGCTCCGCAACGGGAGAGGTCACAACAGTGAGAGGCCCACATACCGCAAAAATAAATAAATAAATAAAATTTAAAAAATAAACTCCTTCTAATAGGTACCTGAAACTCAGTATTTAAACATGATCAAACCAAGCAGAGATTCCCTGTCGGAGTACTCTTCTAGTGGCTGCTGATTGTTTATATAAAATAGAGAACCGTAAAACTTTAGAGAAAGAGAACTCAGATCTTAAAAGTAATCTAGTTCAGAAGTTTTGAGACTTTGAAACAAAACAAAAAAATATGGAGATTAACACAGAGATATCACCTAAAGAACAATGATCATTACATTGATAAAAGGACATTTAACACTGAAAATGTGGGAAATATCACCTCAGAGTTGAAAATTTAAGAAAAGTTCATTAAAATATTCTTATTTTTTGCATTTTCACCATGGATGGGATGAAACTTTGCCACCCCTGGCATCGGGCCACATCAGTGCCTTGGAACGTGTCTAAGCAGCCTCCTACGGGATGCTGTATCCCGTCAGTCATGTCCTGGACACAACACAGGAGCTGCTGGGAGGGCACCGAGCCTCTCAGAACCTGTCCTTCTGCGGCAGCTGCTCAGTGTTTCTATTCAAAGCAACTCCATTCCTCTCCCCAGAGACAGCTAAATATACTGTTTCCCTTTTCCTGTTTCTCATGTGACAGGCACTCCAGACCTGTCACTATCTTAGTTTTCTCCCCTGGATGCATCAAATGGCCCAGGTTCTCCACCACACGGGAGACACGTGGCTCCAAATGGAGCCTCATTCATACTCTAAAGTACTGCGTGACTCTTACTTGCTGAGATCCAGGCCCGTACAGTGTCCAGAATTATATTAATACGTGCACAGTTTGTTGTCACAATCTAGGCTTATCACAGCTTTTTAAAGCTGAGGTCTCAAACTGCTTGCTGACTCATAATTAAGGTTGTGGCTGACCTTTTTTTTTTTTTTTTTTTTAAAAAAAGACTAACACTACGAAATACTACACAGCATAAAAGATTAATTCTTATCGGTAGGTCTGTTTTCTAAATCTTCCAGAAAGGAAAATATTTCCAGTCCATTGTACCCACACGTATTCCAGTTCGTATGAGAAATGAAGGACAGGTTACTGAGTATTCGTGTGTAAACGCCACCACTGCTCTCTCCACCTGGAATGCCAGAGACTCTAGGCTGATCAATGACTCCCTGTCTTCAGTGCCCACCCCGCCCCCGCCAGCTTTCAGGTAGAAATGACTACTCTCCTCTTCATACTGTTGCCTATGCTAGTGTCACGGCACTTGCAGCGTTTTATTGTGCTTTATCAGTTTATACAACTGTTTCTTCCTCTAAACACAAAGCTCCCTGAAGCCTTTACTTGTCTTTGTGCCCTAGCACATGGCAGAGCTTATTCACAAGAATTTCGTTACTTCATTATGAAATAAAACAGCGATATACATCTGTAAACTACAACTATACGTAACTTTACAGTCATAAAAATCTGGTAAACATACAGACACCAACACAGAAGAGGAGGATTTCTGTAGCGTCTATCAGACAGGGCCGCCCTTAGTGGGACTCGAGAGGGAAAGTGTAGGACAAGGTCTGAAGCAGTGGACAGGGCTGCCATCCAAACCACTGTATTAAAAAGTACCAACACTCAAGCCCCAGCCCCAACCAACAGAGTCAGAATCTCTGAGGGTGAGCCCGGGCATTAACGCCAGGAGAGAAGGCCAAAGGCAGACTCGACGCTTGAATGTCTGGGTACACTTTATTTGGTTAGCACTGAAGAGTCAAGGAAGGGTTCCAAGCAAGAAAAGGACAGAACCTAAATTGTTATCACAATGTAAACGTATAAAGGACTTCCATGTCCATTTTATCATTTAATTCTAATAGTCCCATGAGGTGGTATTATCCCTATTTTTAAGAATTAGAAAAATGAGGCCCAGAGTACAGATTGCTAACTATTAATGGTCATTAATCCAGGTTTTATGCTTTCCCACTACACCAAAACTAGAAAGGTTAAAATGGTGGGATGTGGGGTGGAGAAAGTGCACCTTAGGAAGACTGGTCTACAAGAGCAGAGAGGACAGAGAGAGGAGAGAAGGGAGGTGATGGCAACAGGAGCGGGACTAGTGACGTGTCCTGAGGACTCACCATGAGCCAGGTGAGATGCTAATCATCTTATGAACTCACTGACTCCTCACACACCATGGGGGTCAGGGGTCTCACACCCTTGCTCTATAGATAAGAAAGCTGAGTGCCAAATGGTTAGGTAGCTTGTCCAAGGTCAGAGCAGTAAACCAGAGGCTGGATCCAAATCCGGACTGTCTGGCTCTAGAGGCCAAGCTCTGACCCCCAGGTAAGGCTGGCAGGAAGAAGCACAGGCCTCAACGAGAGAGGCAGGTAGAGCAACGACCCCTCCACTCAGTTCAGCAGAAGCTTACTGAACACCTGGTGGGTGCATGGACCCTGCCTGGACTAGTAATACACAGGAACACGTTAGGATGAGGTGAATCACTGCTTGCAGCCAGTAGGAAGAGTGAGAAGTAATTAGATGGCAGGTCTGGGTGTGTGGGAGACTGATGAAGGGTTAAACTGGAAGAGCCGGCTTGGTGGCGATGTGACAAAAGCAGGGGCCGGGATCCTGCTGTTGCCGTGCTCCGCGGAGCCACGCTGCCCCGCTCTCTCCACACTAGAGGGCTGGAGTCCTCCGATGAGGCCCAGCCCCAAGGTCCTTCCCCAGTAAGACAGCATTTGCACATGCTCTCACTCCAGGACTAGCATGCGTGTGTAAAAAACAGTTGTGGGGTGACTGCTTCCTCTGCAGGACTGTGCACTGGGACCCTGCGAGAAGCTTCTGGAATGCCAATGCCCGGCACGTGGCAAAGGAAGAGTTACCTTCCATTTCAGAAGGAAAAGCAGGATCCCACAGCCATTCTATCATGTTCAAAATTTTCTCTAGAACATTCAATCTCTAGGTTTCTCTACGTCTAGTGCCCAGATCAGTAAAGAGCCCATAGGAGGACACAACACATGCCGGCTGAGTGAGAGAACACATGTGTAATGGTAGTGAAAGCAGGGAATGAAATGTGTTTGGTCTTTTCTCCAGCATCCTAACATCTAGTGTCTCAGGAGGAATAAGGACATTTGTCTTGGATCCAGCCCAGCACAATGTGCAGCCCCCAAGTGGTGCTCAATATGGTTTACATCACTTGTGGAAGAAAAGAAATATACTAGAAATGGACCCATCCTTAATGGGGCAAAAAGGTATTGTGAGAGTTCACACACTTATAAAAAATGGTATTTTCCGCCCAATGAACCAGAAATTTCTTTTCTTGAAAATTATTTTTTTCTTGATTTAGTCTGAAGTCTTTTAAGTTACAGATATCATCAGAGGCTTCTCTCCCAAGTCCAAAAGTATGTCTTATCTGTAATAAAAATAAACACTGGGTTTCAGGTTTCCAATTATTAACAATAAATAAAAGAATTCCCACCTGAGAGAAATGTTTCCCACAAATGTTACATTCAAAAGGTTTCTCACCTAAAACAAAACAAAACAAAACAACAACTTGTAAAACCATGGGTAACATCTGCAGGATAGTTTTCTGTGTAAAATGTTTAAGCTGCCTCTTTTGTCCCACCTTCCAAACCACAGCATTACATACTTCATCATCAGACTATGAAAACGGGAGCCTCTGTCCTCATCCTCATCATCTCTCGCGCCCTTAGATGACAGGCAGAGATGATAAAAGTGAAATCTATATTTACTTTTCTCTAAAAAATTAAATTGTTCTCCAAATTTACACCTGTGTTGAAATCAAACGTATTTATCTGCATTCAAACCATATTTAGGCTTTGGACACAGACTTTTCCTTCAGTTGAAAATCAAATGTGAGTTTTCTGGCTGAACAGCATGAACCTGGTCACCCGTCCTCAGCCTGACTCCTGCAATGACCACCGATTCCTAACAGAACCAGGGTGACTCATTCACACCACACAAGGTATGAACCTGGGACAGCCCAAAGCAGAGCGGGATCTCCTGAAAGTGTGATGGGAAAAATCCCCTCCCCACTGCCTTTCAGCCTTGGTTGAAATGTGCTGACGGGGGAAAAGAAGATTCCATGATGAGACATGTTCCCCTGCTGAGTGCTTGGCCCCCTGATTTCAGCAACTCTGAATAATTACACTTTGGTACAGAATAGATGGAGAGAATGGACTCTACTACAAAGAAACCACAGCAATTCTGAAGACAGTCTCTAGAAAATAATCTGTTTAAAAACATACTTCAGGTACTGCCTTTAACACCTCTAGAACCCTAATAAACAGACTGTTAAGACCAAGAACCTTCCATTTTTCACACTCCCCTCAAATCAAGTGCTTTCATTAAGAGCCTTTTAAAAAAATAACACTAATGTTTCCCTTCCTACTGTATTGCTGGGGTGTGCCAGCTTTATGGGCTTCTGCTAAGGTACTTTTTTTTATTTTGATCTTTTCCTAAAAACTGTTTAATGGCTTCCTCAAGGATAAGGGGGGAGCTTCTGACCCCAAGTACAGTTGACCCTTGGACAACAGGGTTTTAACTGCACAGGTCCACTCATACATGGATTTTTTTTCAGTAGTAAATATTACAGTACTACATGATGGAAGTTGGCTAAGTCTGCAGATGTGGAGGAACCAGTACATGGAGGACCAACTGTAAGTTAGACTAGGATTTTCAACTGCTCAGAGGGCCAGTGCCCCTCAGCCCTGCGTTGTTCGAGGGTCAGCTGTAATTATAATCATATAGATGCTGTATTTTGGACTACATTTATGTCTGAAGTTATGGGGATAATAGATGTTACATTAAAGTCCGCCCTATGAGATATGAGAGTCTGAAAAAAGAGATCACTAGTTCCTAAGACTCTCAAGTGACCAGGGTTAACAACCCTACTCCAGTGGTTCTCAAACTTTTTGTTCTCAGGACCTCTTTACGCTCTTAACAACTGAGGACCCTAAAGAGCTTTTGTTCAAATGGGCCATATTTGGCAGTACAGTCCACATTAGAAATCAAAACGGAGTGATTTTTGAAACACACGACTAGACATTTTTCACTGGCCACCAGAGTGAAGGCCTGATCACAGATCCTGCAGCCTTTAGCCGACTCCACTGTACACTTGTGGGAGAAGGAGAAGGAAAAGGCAAGGACATCCTACATTATGATACAAATAGTTTTGGCCTCAATGACCCCCTGAAAGGGTTCCCCAGATCATACTTTGAGAACTGCTGCCCTTCTCAATATATTTATGTCCCAAGAAGCAGCTGTGCCATATAACTGTATGACTACTATTATCCAAAGATGTTCTTGCAGAATAAACAATTCTTGTTTCCTTTAAAGCTAAATAGGTAAGTTTCTCAAATAAAAATTATAGTGATCATTAGGCTCCAGAAAATTACAGAATGACCTAAATTAAGTTTTTACAGGGCAAAACTGAGTCAATGATACTGTCTTCATATGGAGTAATAACAATGATAGTATCGTATATTCAAATACACCAAAATTTATAAAGGGCTTTCATAAATATTAATTCAGTCTCAACAGTGCAATGAGGTAGTAAACACCTAAGCAAACAGGGAATCAAAAGTGATAACAGGACATCACATCAATGGTCACAATTACACAAGTACCTTGAAAAGCAGTTACTTTAGAAGCATCCTATAACATATTCCTTCTCATGCCTCTAAGATAATTGCCATTAATTTGTAATGTGTACTAGAGTCATCATGCTTAAATGCAGGAAGGAAAGTAATATATATGTATCATATTACATAATGTATATATACTGTATAACACTTTCTTTTAAAGCTTTTGGAAAAAATAAACATTTTGGAAAGGGGAGGTATGAATTACATGAACTAAGGTATGAATTAAGGTAACAAAACTTTGAAAATTCAATGTTCAGATGGAAGGATTTTTATTTGAAAATATCAAATGGTTAAAGCTGATCCTTATTAAAAAGTTTCCCTCCTGCCTCCCAAATCACAAATTTTTAAATCTGATACTCAAATTACCTTCCAAAGCTTTCAGGATTACTCAAACTAAATTACTTCAGTCTGAATTAACCTACATTATGCTTTTAAAAAATAAACAATCTAATTCTAAAGAGAGAACTAAATATCGCTTATCTCTTTTAGAATTAATTTGAAAATCTGAGTGCATCAAAATAACTTGCCACACTTTAGAGATGGAAAGTTTCCCATATACAACCTCAATTAAAATTAAAATGAAAAGTGTATCATCCTTTTAAACTGGCTCTATGAAAGCATTTACAGAACTGAAGATTATTCTTTAAAAGGCATCACCAAAAGTATAAAATAAAAAATAGCTAACACTCTTTGATTTTGGGGGGTAAATATCAATGACGTCATCAAGCAATAGCAAAACTTCTTACAAAAACAGGAGCAGGCAGTGGTGTCTGATCCTCTGCATTATTTCCTTTCCTTGTGCCTGCGGGGACCGAATCAGTGTACCTGTATGAGACCGTTTGTGAAGCTCCAAATTGCTGGGATGTTTAAAAGGTTTTCCACACAATTCACACGCATACTGTCTCTGTGACTGAAGTGTCTGGGATTGGTCTTCCAGGGCCGCAGTGTCTTCGGGCCTCTCCATCTCATTCATGCAATTAAAATTCTCAGAACTGATGAGTTCTTCACTTTCTTTTTCTTCAGCACTTTGGCTGTTAACCTTCTCTACACTATGGTCACTGGCAGATTCTAACCTCTTGGTTAACCTGTCATCTGATTTGGGTTCAGATGTCTGCTCTGCAGATTTCTGTGACTTTAGGAAATTTAGCTTCTTAAGGTGAATGGCCTTCTTGAGCCTCATCTGTCTGGTAGGTTGTTGGCTTGCGTTGTCTGGCTCAGGGTCTGGGGTAGGTTCACTCAAAGGCTGGGCCAGGAAGTTGGAAGGCAAGTGCTCGGAGGACTCCAGGACACACTCGGCGTGACCAACAGCACAGGGCTGGTGTTCCGCGGCGTGAAGGTCTGAGGATGTGCTGAAAGTGAAAGGCTGCTTGATTATTCTCTCATGACTGGGACAGGTGGCTTGTTTATAGTACTGCTTACTGTACAAGTTTCTGAGCTTGTAGTAATAGTTTGGCTGTTTGAAAGGCAGTTCTGTGCAGCTGCCATCTAATGTGTCAGGGGCTTGTTTTGAGGTTTCAGCTGTGGAAGTATGAAGACCAACTGAGGGTGGGGCATGAGAATGTGATTCATCCACAACTCTACCCTGCTGGACA